CATCTTATCGATATTTTAGAATATAACCCCACTACTTCGCTTTTCGAGCCGCCGAAATCCCCTCCCTCTCTTTCTTATTTTTATTAGGGAATGGTGAGAGCCCCAACCATCGCTCTCACCTGTGAGGTGCTTCCACTACTAACATTGCTTATGAGACCTTTACACTAAGTCGAAACTCAGCAGAAAGAACGCATAAGGAATTACTTCAACCTCTCCAAAAAAAAAAAAAGGATTTGAAGGAATAATTAAATTTGGATTAAAGAGATAATTAAAATTTTAAATATAAATTTATTTACTATTTATACATTTACATATTATGCTAGATTAATTTTTAAATTCAAAATTCGAGCCTTCTCTATGGTAAATAAAGAACTCCTTTCTTTCCACGGTCTCGAATAATTTTTTCAGCATATCTTCATCTTTTTCTAATGCTAAGCTTACTCGCTTAGGTAGAAATATTTCAAATTCATCGTCTACTGTTATCACTACACTAAATCCATAACGAGTATTAAGCCATCTTAACCTCGTTATCATGTAGGTACAGTTATTCTCTAATTGTGCCATTGTTTTTCTTGGTAAAAATGCCGATTTGGCTATTCTATTAATTGATGAAAAGTCCATTCTACAATAACAAAAAATCAATCAATAATTAATACTACTAGGATATATAGTTAGAGAGCTACTAGTATACAAGAAACTTACTTTTAAGAGAAACTCTAGAAGTTTAATAGGAGAACTAGGAAGAGAGACTACTGCTGTTGCTTCAACCTACTGCTGAAGAACTGCGACGGACTGAGGTGTGTTCTCCGTTTTGTACCACGCGTCCCCTCTCGGAGAACTCGAGCCGCCGTAATTTCCCTCTCTTTTCGCCTTATCCCCACTTGAGTAATTTCTCATGATTCCATTGCCCATACTCCTCAGACTTCAGTCGCCATGTTTGCCGTTGTCCCCCACTCTACCGTTGTCCCCACTCTCTCACTATTCTATCCTTAGTCTTTTCCTAACTGAGCCTTCTTCCTCCCCACTATTACTACTCTGTTCTGAGCGACTTCTGTCGGAGGTTGGAAGAAGCTTACAACTTTCTTTCATACTACTCTGTTCTGAGAGACTTCTGTCGGAGGTTAGAGGAAACTTACAACTTTCTTAAGGATTTTCTTCCATTTCTATGATCTTTCTTTTCCTGCGTTCTTCCGCACTCTTGATTTTAAGCTTTGACGTTTCAATAGTTTTGTAATGACCCCATGGAAGTGTATCAGGATTTTTATCGAATATACATCGTTTATCATCATATGGACTTAGTGCTACTTTCTGCACTCTTTCTGTTCTTACTTGATGTAATACACTTCGTATATTACATTGCTCACGCCTAATAATTTCTAAATCCAATAAACAGTTTCGAAAATCTTCATGATCTATTGTTTTTATGACAGTATGTGTTTTTACGCCTTTTGCTTTCTTTATTGCTTGATGGTTTTCTATTAATATACTATACATTTTACTTCGAAGTCCAATGAATTCTCTCATAATATTACCATTGCATTCATCTTTCATAATACCGAGAACCTTTTTATTAACTAACGGCATATTAAACTGATTATTTTCTGAGTAATCTGATGTATCAAATTTATTGATATCTTCTTTCATTATTTCATATATATCAACATCTTTAAATTCATATACGAGGCTATCTGTATCAGTATAAAGTAATTTTGCTTTATGAGGTAGTCTTTCTTTTATGTAGCCATAGTGGAAGTCATATACTAATGTTTTTGAGAGATCTAGCACACAAAGTCCAATATATATTGGTTTTTTAATACTAATAGTCGTCCATGATAACTGTATTGCTACTAAATTTTCATCAAAGATTGAACTACTATGAAAGTTGGGTTGCGCGATCCGTGCTTCTGCTCCATATCTACCACTCCATGTACTAATTAATTTAACGTCTTTTCGTTTCCTTTCATCCTCCATAGTCTTTCCGTATACTGCATTAATCATGAGTTTATAGAATAACTTTTCAAATTCATTTCTAGCTTGTTTTCTTTTTTCTGTATTCAAATCTACATAAGTTTTAAGCCAAGGCTTTTGATTAAACTGAAGTGCTCTGTGTATTTGTTTTATTTTGAGTCCGTATTTAATAGCCTGCTTTAGCGCTCTATAATGAATGACATATCGTTCTTTATCATACAGTGTTGTTAAAAGTTTTTTTTGTCTTGACCCAGGTGGTGTGTTGTGTTCAGGACAAAGTGGAAGGTCCTTATGTTCGTCGTGTAGTTCTTTTGGATACTCTAGATCAACTTCTAAAATATATCCAACCTCATTGTTATCGGAAACATTGAAAAAATGAGGTTCATCGATGTTAGAGACCCACTTAAAATTTTTATATGGTAATGATTGCGTCATCGGCCATCCATATAAATTGTTAACGTCAAAGTACATCAAAGTCTTGCTAGGTTCTTTTTCATTATATTCTGAGCCCATATATCGATTATTAGCTTTTGAGTATCTATTACAGCATTGACTAATACCTCCTCGAATGCCTTTTTGGATGAATAAAACCATGTCTATATCGGTTAAAAGTTCTAGCTCAATTTTTGTACACTTTAACATAGCATCCCATGTTAATCCAGGAGTAGTATAATAGTGTGCCGGGTCGAGTTGATACGCGTCCATACACGTTTTACGAAAATTTTCAAAAATATCGGCCAAGAGTAATACGTCAGTTTTTAAATATAAATCAGAATACTGTCCTAAATCAATGATGTCAAATGCATTCCACACTTTTTGAGCATGCTCATAGTCAGCTTCAGAGATGTTGCTATCTATCAATTGACTATGAAAATCTTCGATAGGTGGTAATTGAGTCTGTTTTAATCTTTCAAAACTGTTAACATACTCATATGGAAAAACGCCTTTTCTCTTCAATAATTCTATTTGTGTTTTTGTATATTTATCTATCTTGAATTCATGCTCTACGATATTTAGTTTGGTTAAGTATGAAGACAGTTTTTCGAGAGATGATGGCATAAAACGAAACGAATCAATAAATCGAAAATTTATAGTACTACCGTCCACATGTTTTGTGAAAGCTATATATCTTTCCTTGTTTTCAGCTAAAACAGTCACATTTCCCTCAAGATCAGAGCTAGTAGCTATTTCTTTTATTATAAAATGAGAATCATATTCAGTAAGGTTATGGAAGACAACTGGTATAAAATAAGGATTCTTATAATTTAAATTACAGGATGCGTGAACAGCACCTCTAAATCGACCCGTCAAATGACAATGATCTCTGACTCTTGTTTCATCAGGTTGAAAATATTTTCTACAAATATGACACATTTTGCCCATCTTGAAATCCATTTGATTACGCCATGAAAGATTCATTTCTATTGCATTCTTATATATTTGATCCATTTCATCTAACAAAATCTGAAATTGTTTGATAACCGATTGTGCGGATGATTGTTCTTCATTCAGTTTTTTTCTATACATCTTAAAGACTAATTTAGAATCATCATAACTACATTTTATATAAAGCCCCACACAAAAGGCTTCATGGTCTTGGAAGGATCGTCCGTTATTTACTGGTTTCAATAAGCACTCTAAATCAGCATAGATAATAAACGGAACCATTTCTTTTCGATCATAATGATTAAATTTCAGAAGAGGAAAATTAGGTAGATTAACTCTATATTTATTTAATTTTGAACAATCAGTCTCATGAATATTCAATTTTTCTTTATTATTAAAATAGTGGAGACAGCGTTCACAGAGATAAATTTGTGCAGTATGTTTCGTTACTTGACTTCTAACAAGAGCAGATAAGTTTTTAATCCATACATAGTGGAATTTTAATTTGAAATTATCACTGTTATTTGATCTATTAGATTTTTCTGTTTCATTCTCATCAACATAATCGCTTTGTAGTAACAAAAGATTTACATGCTTATCTTGTTTTAAAGTTGATATATAATATGGTGAGACTTCGAATTTCAAACCGTATTTTTTTAGTATGTATAGATTTATTGAAATACTATTTAATTTTTCAAATTTAGGAATATTCTTTACCTCAACAGGAAAGTTTATATCATCGAATTTCAATTCATTCGCAAAGGGCATATAATTTTGAACTCTTTCGCTATGAAATCTAGCTGGATGAAGACAGGCAAGCACAGCCCATTTAAAACATTCATTATCTGTATTTTGAACGTTGATAATTGCTTTTTTATCTGCTATTTGTTTTGGTAGTTGAATATATGAGCCAGGTTTGAAAGGATTAAATTTATTTATATTAACAGTAATACCGATGATAGTTTTTAATGTCCAACCGGAATCTTTTTCTTGAAATTCTTCTAAATTTTTAAGTATAACATCTTCAATATTTTCTGTAAACCATAATTTAAGATCTGTCGTTTTATAAATAGAAACATTTTCGGTGTTGAAATACTTTACTTGAATGTCCTCTACATTATCTTTTATTACGGTAAATTAAGCTGACATTTCTATATTTATTTTTAGAGCATTATGAATTGAAAGATATTTTGGTATTTGTAGTTGTAATAATTTATTTGCTGCTTTTAAGAATGACTTTATATCTCTATGTTCTTGATTGGCTATGAATGCAGAAATGATACGTTTTTCAAATGCTGAATTTATTTCACGCCAAATAACTCCATCCCCTTCAATTTGGTTTGGAATGACTCGTAATGAATTAACATTTCTTCCGACTTTTATGGAATTATTTAAATTAATTTCGATTGAATTCAAATGAGTAGCGCATATTTGACATCTCTGTCGTATTGCTCTACTTAAGTTAGGCCGTAACATATATTCTTCAAGAGAATTCAAAGCGGTAATTATTATATTTTTCCATCTAATCAAATCATCCTTATTAGCGCCTGAGTTGTAATAGGCTTTCCATAAATCGCATACTGTATTTTCAAAATAAGAAATAGAAGCCATTGTAACGAAAATGCGCGTAGAATAACTAGTAATACTACTACTACTACTACTGCTTGTCGCTACTAAAAAAGCTAGTGAAGCGGGCTGTCTCGAAAGACTGCGCTCTTTTCCCATCGAGCACGGCTTTTAAGCACTATGGTGGCGCTGAAAGCAGCGGTTTCGGCGCTGTAGGTTGAAGAGGGAGTAGTCAGACAAAAGGTAGGAGGTGGGTGGGTGGGTGGGTGGTGGCTGCACCTAGCAAGCTAGAGACGCTACCCCCTCTCCGAGGGCCCACACTCAGCTAGCATAAGCTTACTAAGCGCCCTACTATCGAAGGAGAGCGAGAGAGAGAGAGAACGGCATCCACACTATACGACGTACGCGTCTAGCAAGCTAGAGACGCTACCCCCTCTCCGAGGGCCCACACTCAGCCAGCATAAGCGCCCTACTATCGAAGAAGAGCGAGAGAGAGGGATATATATATATATATATATATATATATAGAGAGAGAGAGAGAGAGAGAGAGAGAGTGAAAACAGAATCCTCACTATACGGCGTACGCGTCTAGCAAGCTAGAGACGCTACCCCCTCTCCGAGGGTCCACATTCAGCCAGCATAAGCATATAGTTTACCAAACACCCTACCGACTTCTACAGCATCCTACCTTAACAACCTCTGTGGGTGGGTTGGTGGGTGGGTGGGTGAAGCGTCCTACTATCGAAGGAGGGGGGGGGGCTGGCCCCCTCGAAGGGCCCACTGGCACGCGGGAGGTGTCGAACGAACATCAAATGCAACACTCAGCATGGGGTCTCACCTTATCGCGATTAAAAGGTGTCACTACCTTCATACCTTCATCGGGCGGCTCCTTTCTGTCCCAGAACATACACGTATCCTTATACATTGGCAGCGCGCGCGAGGTGTCGAACCAACATCAAATGCCCCTTAACACTCAGCATGGGGCCCACTGGCACGCGGAAGGTGTCAAAGGTACATCAAATCCCTTTTAGGCACTCACCATGGGGTCTGACCATTAATTAAAAGGTGTCACTACCTTCACACCTTCATCGGGCGGCTCCTTTGTGTCCCAGAACATACACGTATCCTTATACATTGGCGGCATCCTTTGTCGGCTCCTTTGTGTCCCAGAACATACATTGCTTATCTACTACTAACAATCTGTCTATAAACAATAAGTAAATGATATTATTAAAATTACAACTCTTACAATTTTACTTGCATTATTACATGAAGGTACTTCTCCAATGATCAGTACCAGTACATTAATTCAAAGCTAATTAATTTTATTTTTGTATAAATGGCGTTTTATATTTTTTGAATCTTGAAGTTGTTGGTGTTGAGTGGTTTAATTCCTTGGCTAATCGATTTGGATGCTTTGTTATCCTGGTGGTATATCTGCTAGAGGCTGCTTCTATTTCTTCTTTTACTGTCTTTATTTTTATATCCTTCCTTATACATTCATTTGTTAAAAAACCATGGTGCATCTGTGATATATCTTAATGTTTTGTTCTGGAATCTTTCGATGATGTCAATGTTGGATTTTGTGGCTGTACCCCAGAGTTGTATGCCATATGTCCATACTGGTTTTATTATGGATTTGTATACCAGTAATTTGTTTTTAATTGATAGTTTGAAATTCCTCCCTAGTAGCCAATATTTTCTTGTCTATACGTGGTCTGTTCAAAAAGTATCGCGAATTTTGAATTTCCACGGGCTACGTGAATTAGATTTTTTATTTTTTTGTAGCATTATGTTGGTACTCATATCCCTTACTTATGCTGACAAGGTTGGCCATTTTGAATGTTTAGTTAATTGTTGACAGCTGTTTTGCTTGGATGTGTTTTGGCTCGTCTTCGATTTTTGCCTATTCTAAAAAATGGATCCAAGAATCTGTATCAAATTTTATGTGAAAAACAAAATAAAGTGCGCCGATGCATTCCGAATATTGACTGTAGCATATGGTGAATCTACCTTGGACCAAAGCAACGTTTATCGGTGATATAATATGTACCGGACGCCCGAGCACGTCAACAACACACGAAAACATTGATAAAGTAAAGAAAATAGTCTTGGTCAATCGTCGAATCACCGTTAGAGAAGTTTCTGAAGATCTAAACATATTGATTGGCTCATGCCATTCGATTTTAACCAATGATTTGGGCATGAGTCGGGTCGCCGCGAAATTCGTGCCAAAACTGCTCAATTTCGACCGAAAACAGCATCGCGTTAACATTGCTCAAGAGATGTTGGACTTGGTCCATGAAGACCTAAATGTGCTTCAGAGGATCATAACTGGTGATGAATCATGGATTTATGGTTAAGATGTGGAAACCAAAGCTCAATCATCCCAATGGAAGCTGCCGCATGAGCTAAGCTCGAAAAAAGCGCGCCAAGTTCGGTCGAACGTGAAGGTTTTACTCACAGTTTTCTTCGATTACATAGGCGTGGTGTATCATGAGTTCTTGCCACAGGGTAGTACGATCAATAAGGAATATTACCTGCAAGTTTTGCGCAATTTGCGCGAAGCAATCCGCCAGAAACGTCCGGATTTGTGGGAGAACAAAATCTGACTTTTGCACCATAACGCCCCTGCTCAAACATCGCTGCTCGAATATTTGGCCATAAACAACACAATAATGATGGCCGAAGTCACCGTATTCCCCAGACCTGGCTCCCTGAGACTTTTTTCTGTTTCCAAAACTGAAGAGGCCCATGAAAGGACGACGCTACGCCATGATTGAGAAGATGAAGATGGCATCGAAGAAGGAGCTGAACAAGATCACAAAAAATGATTTTTTTAAGTGATTCGAGAATTGAAAAAAACGTTGGCATAAGTGCATTATATCCGAGGGGTATTACTTTGAAGGAGATAAAACAGATATTCATGAATAAATAAATAATTTTTGAAAACATACAAAATTCGCGATACTTTTTGAACAGACCTCGTAAGTTTAGTTGTTTCCGTTTAGTCCAGATATGATCTCTCCACGTCAGTCGTCGGTCCAGGTGCATTCCGAGATATTTTGCTTTGTCTCCTTGTGGAATTATTTTATTGTTTATATGTACCGGTGGACAAGATCCTCTTTTTTGGGTAAAAGTAACTTGTATTGATTTCGTTTCATTAATCATTATCCTCCATTTATTAAACTAGTTAAGTGCTATATCCAAGTATTTCTGCATAATGCGAGTAACTGTAATTTCATTAGCATGTGATATTAAAATTGCTGTATCATCTGTGTACGTGACGATGTTGACATTTTCCATTTTAGGGAGGTCATGAGTGTATATTAAGTATAATATAGGGTTAAGAACGCTGCCTTGAGGGACACCGGCTTTTATTGTGTATAGATCTGTTATTTCATTATTTATTCTTACTTTGAAAGTTCTGGAGCTTAAGTATGATTCTAGTAACATGTAGAGTTCTTTTGATAGAATTTTATTAAGTTTGTATAAAAGGCCTTGGTGCCAGACTTTATCAAAAGCTTGGGCTACATCGAGAAATACAGCATTACAATATTCGTTTTTTTTCAAAGGTATTTCTTATTTTAGTAGTTACTCTATTTATTTATTTTATTGTGACATGATTATTACGAAAACCGAATTGATGGTCAGGTATTATGTTTCGATCTAATTGTTAAATATTGTTATGCAGGATCGATAAATAAATCTTCATTAATTTAATGTTTCATACTTTAAGTAATAAACAATTTAGAATTTCTTATATAACTACAAAGTTTTATATATTTTAGTTATGTTACGTTTCATTATACCTCGTATATATATATATATATATATATATATATATATATATATATATAAGAGCCATTACGAGATGCGCTCGCTTTAGGGCAACGTGGCAGACTAACTAAACTGCTCGCGCTCTATTTACACATACATACGTCGCTGCGTGCGCATCCTCATACTCATACTCGCTTGTATACAATATATAGGTACACTCTTTATACAGCATACACAATTACTTCAAAACCAACACACCTCCTTAATTTTGTATGCTGTAATAAACTTAGTACAGTTATTTCTCTGACTATATGAATTGCAATAATAATATTTGATTTTTATAATAAATAGTAATAATATTTTTCTCTTAATAATAATAAATTGTTTTTCAAACAACATTAATAACTCAAATCTTCTTTCATAATCAATCTTAAATAAATAATTTCAATAAATCATAAACTTTAGACTTTCAAATTTAAAAGTGATCTCAGCTTTTCAAATTTGAATCTACCAAAAGCTTTTGTGAATATATCTGCTAAATTATTTTCAGAGTCTATTTTTACAATATCAATTTCTTTGCGCTCATAACATTCATTGACGAAGTGATAATATATTTCTATGTATTTGGATTTTTTAGTTAAATTTCCAAATTTTGCAATTTCTATTGCACTTGAATTATCTTCATAAATTTTTATGGGTATATTTATTTCAATTTCGAAATCATTTAATAAGAGTTTTATAAATTTAATTTCGCTTACAGCTTCTGACAGAGCTACATATTCTGCAGAAGTCGACGACTTTGTGACGCTACTTTGTTTCTTTGTTTTCCAGTATATTATATTTCCAAAAAAACTTATTACATAACCAGATGTAGAACGACGATTTATCGAATCGCCAGCCCAATCAGCATCAACATAGCACTCTAAAGTATCTGCTTTCAAATTCCTCATGTATGTTAATTTTAAATTTTTTGTTAAATATAAATATCTTAATACTCTCAGAGCATATTTGTAATAAGTTTCATTGTAGCAGTTTTGAAATCTACTCAGATAATTCACACTATAACTAATATCCAATCTTGTACACGTACTGATATATAATAATGCTCCAATTAAATTATGATACTTTATATCATTTGACGCTGATTGTGCTATTTCTAAATTCAAATTTTGTTCCATAGGAGCGTTATACAATTTACTATCTTTTATCTTGTAATTTTCTGTTAAGAAATCAATATATTCACATTGGTCTAATGTCATTCTATTTTCTTCAAAATTGTATTCAATATTTATGCCAAGATAAGTTTTCAGTTTACCTAAGTCTT